GTTGCACTAGTTTGCATTCCCACCAGCAATGTAGAAGTGTTACTTTTTCTCACATCCTTGCCAGCATCGGTAGTTTGTTTTATTAATGATGGCCATTTTTACTGGGGTTAGGTGGTATCTCAGTGTGGTTTTGATTTGCATTTCTCTGATGATTAGCGAGACTGAGCACTTTTCCATGCATCTGTTGGCTACCTGTATATCTTCTTTTGAGAAGTGTCTATTCATGTCTTTTGCCCACTTTGTAATGGGGCTGTTAGTTTTTGTCTTTTTGGCACGTTTGAGCTCCTTATAGATCCTGGATGTTAGGCCTTTGTCAGATACACAGTTGGCAAATATTTTTTCCCATTCTGTGGGCTTTCTTCCCACTCTCTTGATGGCTTCTTTTACTTTGCAGAAGCTTTTCAGTTTGATGAGGTCCCACTTGTCTATCTTATCTCTTATGGCATGGGCACTTGGGGTTTTGATCAGGAATTGGTTGCCAGTTCCAATTTCCATAAGGGTGTCTCTTGTATTTTCTAAGGTTCTAATAGTTTGAGGCTTTACGTTTTAGGTCTTTCATTTAGAGTGGATTTTTATATATCTTAGATAATCTTTACACCTTTCTTTTGCTGACGAGTAGCAGTAGTACTAAATCTCCTATTGTGTGCTTATTCTGGGCTAAGCTCAGAGGTCAGATGATTACAGTTAATAAGAAATTTTATAGATGATGAGACAGGCACAGAAAAGGAAGTATTAAAGCTTAAACTCAACTCTTTCACTTTTTTTTTGTAGAGCAAAATATACCTAACATAATATGTACATAAAATGTACAATACAACACAAAGATTGAACCATGCATAATATAAACTACAGACTTTGGTTGAGAATGATGTGTCAGAGTTAGTTCACCAGTTGTAACAACACATGGACCACATTGGTGTGGAATGTTGATGTTGTGGGAGGCTTTTGGAGTAGGAGAGGGAAAGTAAATGTGGGAACTATCTGTCCTTTTAATTCAGTTTCATTGTGACCTAAAACTGCTCTATGAACTAAAGTCAATTTTTAAAAAAGTATGTTGCAGGCACTTGAATAGGCAGGAAGTTAATGGAGTGGACTTCAAAGTCCAGAGATGAGCCAAATATGTAAAAGAATGTTTAGCAATAAATCCATCCTTCAAAATAATAGACATTTTTTTTAAGTCAATATTTTTTATTATGATATTGTGGGGTACAGTTAAGGGTTAGGTATACAAATATGCTTCATTCAGGCCCCCTTGTTGATAACAGGTGTCTCTCCGTCCCCAGACAGTTGTTTACTACTATTACTCCCATCCCCCTTCTCCCCCATAGTTTCCCACCAGTGTCAGTCATTTTCTTATGGTAGTGCGTTGGATGATCAAGTTCCACTATATGAGTGAGAACATGTGATACTCAGATTTTTGTTTCTGTTGAGAGGTCACTCAGTATTATAGACTCTAGTTCTATCCAGGTTGGTGTGAAATTCATGATTTTGTTCTTTTTTATGGCTGTGTAGTATTCCATCGTGTATATGTACCACATTTTTTTAATCCAGTCCTCTTTTGATGGACAGCATGGTTGGTACCAGGTTCTTGTTATTATGAACAATACTGTGATAAACATTTGTGTGCAAGTATCTTTTTTATAGAGTGATTTGAGTTCTTCAGGGTGTATTCCCAGTAGGGAGATTGCAGGGTCATATGGGAGGTTGATGTTTAGAGCTTCTAGGAATCGCCACACTGCTTTCCACAGAGGTTGCACTAGTTTACACTACCTCCGACAGTGTAGAAGTGTTCCCTTTTCACCACACCCTCTCCAACAACTGTTATTTTTTGAGTTATTGATAACTGCCATTCTGACTGGAGTTAGGTGGTATCTCAGTGTGGTTTTGATTTGCATCTCCCTGATGATTAGTGAGGTTGAGCATTTCTTCATGTGTCTGTTGGCTGCTCAGATGTCTTCCTTTGTGAAGTGTCTGTTCATATCTTTTGCCCATTTTATAATGGGGTTGTTTGTTTTTTTCTTTTCAGCACATTTGAGTTCCTTGTAGATCCAAGATGTTAAGCCATTGTCAGACCTGGAGTTGGCAAATACTTTTTCCTAGTCTGTAGGCTGTCTCCCTGCCCTCTTGATGGTTTCCTTGGCTTTGCAGAAGCTTGTCAATTTAATGAGGTCCCACTTGTTTATCTTATCTCTTATGGCCTGTGGGTTTCGGGTGTTGTTCAGGAATTGGATGTCAGTTCCAATTTCCATGAGGGTATGTCCTTCATTTTCTAGGGTTCTTATGGTTTGAGGTTTTACATTTAGGTCTCTGATCCATTTGGGGTTAATTTGTGTGTATGGGGATAGATAGGGGTCCTGTTTGAATCTTCTGCATGTGGTCAGCCAGTTTTCCCAGCACCATTTACTGAATATGTTCTCCTCTCCCCAGTGATATGTGGTGGAGGCTTTGTCGAAGATGAGTTGATTGAGAAATTGAGGTTTTGCTTCTGGAATCTCAATTCTATTCCATTGATCAATATGCCTATTCCTATACCAATACCAAGCTGTTTAGATGATTGTAGCTTTATAGTAAAGTTTGAAGTCTGGTAATGTGATACCACCTGCTTTGTTTTTTTTGCTGAGGATTGTTCTGGCTATTCTTGGTTGTTTGTGTTTCCATATGAATTCTTGTGTTGTTTTTTCTAAGTGTGAGAAGAATGTTGCTGGTAATTTGATAGGTATTGCATTGAATCTGTGGATTGCCTTAGGTAAGATGGACATCTTCACAATGTTGATTCTTCCAATCCATGAGCATGGGATATTTTTCCACTTGTTTGTGTCATCTTTGATTTCTTTGAGCAGAGTTTTGTAGTTTTCATTGTAAAGGCCTTTCACGTCTCTGGTTAGGAAGATGCCAAGGTATTTCATTTTTGTGTGGCTATTGTGAATGGAATTGTGCTTTTTATTTGGGTTTCCGTTTGTTTATTATTGGTGTAAAGAAATGTGATTGTCTTTTGCACATTTATTTTATATTCTGAGACTTTGCCAAAGTCCTGTATCAGTGTAAGGAGGTTTTTGACAGATTCTTTTGGGGTTTCAAGGTACACGATCATGTCATCTGCAAAGAGAGATAATTTGACTTCCTCTTTTCCTATTTTGGTAATTTGCCTTCTCTTCTCTGATTGCTCGAGCCACGACTTCCAATACTATGTTGAACAGGAGGGGTGAGAGTGGGCATCCTTGTCTTGTTCCAGTTTTCAGGGGAAATGGTTCCAATTTCTGTCCATTTAGGAGTATGCTTTGGGTTTCTTGTAGATGGCTTTTACTACTTTGAGGTATGTTCCCCGTATGCCTAGATGTTTGAGGGTTTTTATCAAGAAGGGGTGCTGGATTTTATCAAAATCTTTTTCTGTATCTAATGATATAATCATGTGGTTTTTGTTTTGACATCTGTTGATGTATTTAATTATGTTTATGGTTTTATGAATGTTGAACCAGCCTTGCATCCCAGGGATGAAGCCTACTTGGTCATGATGGATGATTTTTGAGATGTGTTGTTGAATCTGGTTTGCTAGGATCTTGTTGAGAATTTTAGCATCTATATTCATCAAAGATATTGGCCTGTAGTTCTCTTTCTTTGTTGGATCTTTACCTGTCTTGGGTATCAATATGATGTTAGCTTCATAAAATGATTTGGGGAGGGTTCCATCTTTCTCAGTCACCTGAAATACCTTCAGTAGGATTGGAATCAGCTCCTCCTTAAATGTCTTGTAGAATTCTGCTGGAAAGCCATCTGGTCCAGGGCTTTTTTTGGTAGGTAGTTTTCTTATTACATAGTCAATTTCCTTGATGGTTATTGGTCTATTTAGCATCTCAATTTCTTCTTGTTTCAACCTAGGCAGGTTGTGTGATGACAGAAAGTCGTCCATTTCCTTGAGGTTTTCAAGTTTGTTTCCATACAAGTGTACATAATAGTCTCTAATGATCTTTTGTATTTCTTCAGGGTCAGATGTGACTTCATCTTTTGTGTTTCTGATTGTGCTTATTTGGGTTTTTTCTT